TTATTAATAGTGTTAGAATGTGGATACATATTTTTGGACAGTATTAAATTTCGTGTAATTTCAAAAATAGGTTCTATATGATGTCGGTGGTTATGTAGATCAAGCACAATAACCATTGGCAATAGTACCGTCCAAACTTATGCATGTTCCAGAGCAACATGTACCTGGATTAGCAAGATTACATGGTTTACCACTAGTAGTACAACATCCGGTTCCAGAAGAACATAACCCAGTACAGCATAACCCGGTACAGCATGATGTCGCGTTGCTCGAAAGACATGGTGCACCTACAGGAGCACAAGAGGGAGGAATGCATTTAGTTTTCGTGAGGGTGCAAGTAACAGTTTTAATATCTTTTTTATTAATTTGGGGGCAACTAAGGCTAGGAGTGGGTGTAACTGTGCATGTTGCTTTAACAGTCGTAATTGTAGTGGTAGTTTTGCAGGGTTTCTGGGGACTAGCATTAACAGTAACAGTCAATGCCAAAAGGTAAGAAAAAAGAATGATTGTAAGAATGCGAATATTCATGGTAAAACTATTTGCGCGTAGCGTTAAATTGTAAAATTTTCATGTTTATATAATTTTTGAGGCTATGTGCAATTAAATATAAATCGTCTTTTTTGTTCTCCTTACCTCGTGTATGCAACACCCCTACGGCATTCGTGCAGACGAATTTGTAGTGAAATTTCCGTACTTATTATGTTTTGAGTGATCGGATTTTATTCCGGTGTATATTTCAGAAATCGAAAATCGAAATTTATAGGATTTTTCATGATTTGGAAATTTCACACAAATTCGCCTGCACAGGCAAGGAGAACACCCCCCATGTCTTTTATTACGGGTAAAACTTGTTTTGCAATTTTTTTATTGACATTAATTTGTACTCATTAAATTATAATTACGTACTTCAATAGCGGAGAACCGGGAGAAAATGTTGCGTGCATATTTATTACTTTTGTAGATACAGTACATATTTTGAGAAGTAAATTTTGAATGTATTACAAACATTGTGTAAGCATATTTTCCTGGTCCGAGATAGAAAAATCTGAGATAATTTTCGAGCGATACAAAATAGAAATGGTGCAGTAGTCACGTAATGATCACATGTGAGACCGCGGTCCTACACGTGACCATATTTCTCGCTTCCTCCTTTACAGAAATGCCGTTCTATTAATTGGATTTAAGTTACTGTAAGCTTCGAAATTGCGTTGGCACCATAGGAATTAATTCGCCTAATTTTATTTATCCCAATATTATGAAATAACTTGTATATATTTATGACTCTTTGAGTTTTTTTCCGCAAATTATCTTTCAAATATCCCGGGATATGTTGTACTATTTTGTTATAAACCTGATTTCGTGCGGATTGATCTCTAAGACCTCTCTCGTTTTTTAATATGGCTTTAATTCTTCCATCAAACCTTTTCCCATAATAATACCAACATGCAATTTCTTCTTGAGTTGTTTTTATCAGCACAGCTTACTTTCTGATATAAAACGCTTGGATTTTTCGGTGCTGAATCCTTGTCATTTTCGTCTTCACCGATCATAGCTTCGACGGTTTCATCCTTAATAGATACGGATAACTCCTCCAACAAACTTTGTACAATATTCAGCCCATCGATGTTTTTTAATGATGTCTACTCATAACTATCATCATCGATTACAATGGGACTGGTACCGCGCTCCTAAGTATTGGTGGAATTTTTCGTAATTAGCTCTGATAATTGTTCTGGCGTATCAATTTGTACAGTTTGCTTCTCTTGCTCTGTGGAAGACGTACCTACTACCAATTCCGATTCTCGTGTATTTTCTATATCATCATCTATAGTATTCTCGCTTTGCTTGGATGATTTTTTCTCGGAGTTGATAAGGGAATGAATCTTGGGCGTCATCCGGTACTTATCCGAAGCGAGAGTGACCTCCTCTCTAATAATCTCGATAATTGTAGAGCAGATAGAACAGCTAGGGTGTATAGGAGTCTGTGTATCTATATGAACAATATGTTGCTCGATACTGTTTGGTGGAATATGTGTTCACAGGATAAAACCACAAATGCCCGTAGTGAAAATGTTAAAATTTGTTTCCCGCATTTATGACATGGACTAAGTTTTGGAACCTCTCCTCCGTTGGATATTTCAGAGATATTTTGTAAAAAATTTAATGAAAGTGCTTTGAGTTGGGAAACATCTCTTTCCCCAATATGAATTTCAGAGGCACTCGGATAAACCTCGCTGACCATATTAATAAGTTTGAAATGGTGTTCCGGCTTTCTCTCCCTACCTATATACAATATTTCAGCGGGGCTGGCACATGATGCCAATATATAAGAGCTAAAACAAAATTAGTATATTGTCCGAAATTTCATTAATAAACGGAATTGCATATTCAGAAATTAGAACGAAATATGAATATTGATATACTGTACATGTATATAGTGTTATCGTCACCGGCGAGTCTGTCGCTAAAATGGTTCACTCTTCGCGTGACGATAATCCGAACGCTTGGATTTCGGCACTAAATAAGGTAAGGCTTTAACTCCGAGGCG